AAACGAGTAAACGCGACTGAAAAAAGTAAAGTTTAAGTGATCAACGCTGGGCAGGTGCTCTCAAGACGAAATATTTTGGCAGCTCGTTGAGCCCGTTAAGAGCGTCATGTGGAAGAAAATGTTTAAACGGTTAGTGTTTTAAGTACGTGGTATCTCTGGTTTGTTGTGTTTCATTTCATCAAAAAAAATTAATGCAGAGTCTCAAGTTGACATTAGCTTTCTTATGCAAATATGATACCACTATTAGGATTGGAATCGTTTAAAATGAAGAAAAAAAAGAAACAGTTTGCTGATCTTAGCTGAACGTCACGTTAAATGTAAAAGTAGGTTACTGGCACATGTCGAATCCAGTGGCACGAATTCCTTGGTATAAAGGAAGGTCTTAAGCGCGGTTATTCTTCCGCGATTATTCCACCTTTGTGATAGCATAGTTCTACTGAGGATGAGGATGGAGATTTACAACTGTGTAACTGTGTCTTGTTGAAGGTATTGCTTATTGTATTGATTTCTTTGTATCATTGACAAAATGGGAGTAAAATTTATTATCTAAAGTAAACGTGAATCGAATTTACATTATTCAGTGATAGTTGTGATGTTCGTGAATGATTTTGTTTCAGAAATATTTCCCGCCTTTAAGAGTTTGAAATTTAAAGACTTAATCAACTCACCATCTCTGTGTCTTCACGTCAAACGAGTCACGACTGCGCTGGAAAATGCTGCGTTTCCTTTGTACGACGCAAAGGTTTTCATCGAGTATTTAATGAACCTTGGAGAAAGACACAAAGCATGGAAAATTTCGATGTATGTATTCTGTTATGCCGATCAAGGTTACTTAGGGGTTATATTGTTGTATAGAGCTGTATAGTAATGTAAACTGCAGTAGCGAGTGGTATAATGCTATCTAGGGGTAGATATTGTTGTATAGCGCTGTATCGTGATGTAGAGTGCAGAAGAGTGAAGTATAGTGGTATCTAGGGGTACATATTGTTGTAGAGCGCTGTATCGTAATGTAGAGTTCGAAAGAGGGAAGTATAGTGGTATCTAGGGGTACATATTGTTGTATAGCGCTGTATAGTGATGTAAACTGCAGAAGAGAGAAGTATAATGCTATCTAGGGGTAGATATTGTTGTATAGCGCTGTATAGTGGTGTAAACTGCAGTAGCGAGAAGTATAATGCTATCTAGGGGTAGATATTGTTGTATAGCGCTGTATCGTGATGTAGAGTGCAAAAGAGGGAAGTATAATGGTATCTAGGGGTACATATTGTTGTATAGCGCTGTATAGTGATGTAAACTGCAGAAGTGAGAAGTATAGCACTATTTAAGGGTACATGTTGTTTTATAGCGCTGTATTGTGATGTAAATTGTGGAAGAGGGAAGTATAGTGCTATCTAGGGGTACTTGTTGCTTTTTGTGATCCATCAAATATTTTTGCTCGCGCGCAATTGGTGTAAACGTAGCAAGTGACTAAATATCCCCCAGCTAATACTGGGTGATATTCGAGAATATCACGCAAGCGATATTCCCCAATTCGCAAACCTTAAGTCTACCTCGATAAGTCTTCGTTTCAAATTTAATTCAATTCAGTGAGCTGTTCATAAAGATTCTTTCACGAGCGTTGCAAAATAATTGAGGGATAAAAATCACAATAGCCTCTATTTTGCACGAAAATATGTTCGGATATTTGTCCTTGGACATTGTCCCTCGAAGCTCACAGTTTTGGCATCTTGGAATAGATAATGTTCGCGGACAAATATCCACAATTATTTTCGTGTCAAATTGGAGCAATAGTTTATAGAACGCTGTATGCTGAAAAAACAATTCAGTAGAGGGAAGCATGGTACTATTTAGGGGTTCATATTGTTGTGATGCGCTGCACAGTTACTTCATTTTACGGATTTACAGTGCTACTCAGGGGTATAATGTTGAATTGTGCTGTATAATTTTAAAAGTTGCAATAAAGGGATGTATAGTGCTATTTAGGGGAGGAGGAGAGGGGCATATAGACGTACGTATTCGAGGAGTTTGTTCTACAACGTGAGGAGACATGGAGTCCAATAATCGACGGAACGTGTTTGCTCCTAATGAATCTCTCGGGCTGTTATCGACTACCTCTTAGGAAGCATTACAATAACTTAACCTTTCTTGATTATTGTCTTGTCAAAACACTTTTTCAAGGTCCTCTCTGTGTCTACATCCAAGATGACGGCTACCGACTCGGAGAAGTCTGTGGATTGGCCTGCTGCCATCTTGGACTCGCGATGTAGGTGGACCCTGGGCGAGAGTTTGATCCATTCCCAATCAGATGATAGAAGAAGCCTTAATTTGGACATTGAAGGACTCGTTTCCAACAAAATGCATCGATTATGTCGCAGAGACTTGGAGGGAGCTCTTTCGTTTTATAGCTGCTACTGTGATGAGAGGACCGAGGAGAGCAAACACTGGCAAGTGAGACTTAAAATTGAGACCCCGTGTGGACTGGGAATGAGTCGAAAGGAAAACTAAGATTTTACTAGACATGATGCTAAGAGGACACCATCCTAAAGTGAACAAAATAAGCATAATAACAACTACTCTGGGGAAGTAAGGAGGTATATGAGTTGTAAGAGACCTGACGTTGCGCGAGGATTGAGACGAATGAAAACTGAAACAGACAAGGAGATAGTCGCGTCTAATGAAGCGCGTAGAAGAATAAAGTTGAGGGCGATGAAAGAAGTGCGCGTAAAAATGGGAATAAAGGAAAAGTACGATGAAAAAAAGGGAAGGAACAAATGGAAGGAGAAAAAAGAGATGCACAAATGTGAAAAGGTGTAAAAAGGTAAAAAGGGCGCACACAGGTAACAGTATGAACACGTCCGTCGGCATTCAAAATCGTGTGACAATATGGAGAACGGTAGACAGTGAAAGAGACACAATCGAAGAGTCGACGAGCGTTTGTTAAGTGGGTGGGGGCTTGAAACATGGAATGTCAGTACACTGTCAGCTGCAAAGATTATCAACTTGGCGCGCGCGGGTCAAAACAAGCATTGAAGTCCCCGTAGGATCTGTTCTCCCTGCATCTCACGCGAATCCTTAGAATATGGAGACAGACAATGAAAACAAAGTAGTTTTTGTATTTTATACACTCTCTATTTCTCTTACAGAAAAAAGTAAAAAAAAGTACAATACAAACTGCATTAAATTGTTCAAGGCATTAAGTAAAGCACGCGCTAAACGGAGACACTAAAATGAACCCATTTATTCCCAAGATTGATCATAACTTAAATTCTCCTCGCAAAATTAATGTACCGACAAACATGGTGTCAATAAGAATTAGAGAAAATCTAAACTAGCGGATTATTTTTCACTAGAAACGTTGTGTTTCATCGAATTCTCAGAATGAAGCAACAGAGAAACACATTCTTATCAGTTGGTAGAATTTTTCTTCACAACTTGGGAGTTAATGGGTTAATGAATTAAAACTAAGGTAAATCAACAAATAGCTTCAACTTTAAATACAAATAGCATCAAAACAATTCACACCAAATACACTGACATTATAAAAAGAATGTTTAGTCGAAATTGTCCCAGCTTGTTTTTAAAATCCTACGTTACATCATATTCAACCATGTGCAAGGTTAACTATTACATTTTATACCAGCATATACCAATGGTAGTTATCAAAATCTGTCAAAAATTAACATTGATTTGACAAAAATTTCTTTTAAAACAGCTGTGATACAGTATACCTTAAACTTTTCACCACATAACGGGTTCTAATTACAAAACGTGCTCTGAATACCTAAGTATTAATTCTTAAATCTAACAAAGATATCATCAGACATCTCCAAATTATACTAAGGTAAATTTAAAGCCATGAAAAAAATTTGAACAGGAAATTTAAAAAAAAATGCAAGTTTTATCCTGAAGCCCTGAACCTTTTTAACTAAGACCTAGATTTACATTTATTCATGAACATTTTCACCAAAATAATTCCCACTGAGGACTACATGGCTTACTTCAAGTGTTTCCCTAATTTATTGGCGTAAATATTTTCCTAATGAAAACAACAAATTCCATTTCACCCACATTAAAAGTCACAGCAATGGAAACTTCAGTTAAAGTAAACTCTGCTTCGCTATTTCCTTGTTTAGATTACATGGACAATTTGTTTCTGTCGTCGTTCTCTAAAACAAACTGACGAGTGTTTGATAAAACGGACTAAAATTGATCAAACTCGTTTGATTGAAAGCAGGCCATTGTAGCCAACTCTTTGACTTGTTCTAGGCCTTTTTCCTGAGAAATTTCAATTGTTGTTTCAACATTTGTAAGAGTCATATTAGAAAAGTCAAGCGGGCGGAAAACAATTGTAGGCCGGGCCCACGGGACTAGAGGCTGGCCACACCCCTGATAGTAGGTCTAATGTCTCTAACATATGGTCAGTAAATTCAACTACATCATCTCTGGTGATTACTTCTTCAAATTAAGCTTAGAATGGCAATCTTGGCACTGATGGAATTATATTGCATTAAAATGGATTGAAAAACAGTTGAAAATGATAATCAATTTTTTTGTAAAGATAATTGCAAATTGCAACAAAGTAATTTATGACGTAGAAAAACCATTAAGATCAATTCACATATGGCTGCGAAGTTTGCAAATCACATTTTTGAAATTAAAATTTCGCCACGTCATTGCAAATGACAAACTGTTTCTTTGCTTATCAAAAGCTTAGAGTATCAACGTAATTAAAACCCTGTGGACAAGCTCCTGGTTGTGTACAAGAAAAAAACCTTCAAATTATTTTACACATAACTGATTGCAATTAAGGAATAGATCTGAGTGTCATTTTGGCGAAACGAAAACCTCGTAGTCACCTTCAACAACTTCAGGCATTAACAGCAGAAGCCTTGTTGCATCTTGTTCTCTTCGCAAGCATCTAAATTTGTGAATGTAAAAAAATAGCAATTAAACCTTCCAAGTTCCTGCGTCATTCATTTTGAGATGAAATAAAAAAGTTTTCATTTATGTGATTTCATATTCAAATTTTCTCTTTCCTTTGCCATGAAGTCAAGAGTGACGTCATCTCCAATCAGCAAAAAGGGCGCCCAGTGTTTGATGTCGCAGAACTTGTGTGATTCTCTGAGGCTTTTCATGGCCAGGTTCAGTGACTTGCTTGCTGGTTTACCTCCTGCAAGTTGTTGATAAAAGTATTTCATGAACTCAAGAGTAGCCTCGTCATCAATCGCCCACAGGGACACCACAATAGACCGAGCACCAGCCCCCATAAAAGCGCGCGCAATGCCAACCACACCTTCAGCCTTGATCTCGCCCCGGCCGCTGTGGCAGCAACTAAGCACAACAAGTTTGGCCCGAAGTTGAGCATTCAACACATCTCTAATTGTTAAAATGTAATCCTCCTCCGTTGGCACAGTAGATATTCGGTCTGGGTCAGGTGTAAGAGCAATTTCGCCAGTTTCCATAGATCCGTGTGCCGCAAAGTGAACTAGGGAAACGGAACCGAGTCTTTTCAACACCTCACGTTTCGTGGCCTGACTGCCAGTGATTGGCGTGATATTCAGAATTTTTCCGATCATTTCTACTTCTTTTTTAGCATACTGAAGCTGCTCAAGGACTTTCTTTCCCTCGCTGTTAGTAACCTCGGATACCCACGGATCTCCTACAAGTAACGCACCACTGCTTTTGTGATAATCATCTGGGCAATCGGCAATGAGTCTAAGACTTGCTAACGATGGAGCGACTCGGATTGTGAACGATTCACACAGGTATTTAGAATTACCATCCTTCAATGCAGCGTAAGGAGCGATCCACAGGGATCCATCAGGAATAATGAGTAGCTCATCCCCTTCAATCAAGTCAGCCACCGGCTTCATAACGATATCATACAAAGTGCTCAAGCATCCGTCTTGTTGGATGTGAGGTTGAGGCTTGGCTTCTTTGGTTTTCTCATCCACTTTTGAACGGCCCTCCCTCAAAGCATCTAAAGATCGATTCTCGCATCTCACATTAGAACGAACACCAAGTTGTGTATAGACACCGAACATGAACGACTCAAAGGACAGGCTAGATCCACTATTCTCTGAAACAAAACCTTTGAGTTTACTTTGTCTTAACTGAACTTGTTTTCCTTCGGACACAACCCAAAGATTGACGTTAGCTTTGTCCACTGCCTGAAAGACAGTGTTTGATGGAACGTTTTTTAAAACTGCGCAATCTTCATCTTCTCCCTTGTGGTGACTTGTTCCACCACAAAAACTGGATTCCATGAGGTCGGTCAGAGCTTGAGCTCGTCCTTTCTCAGCAACAAATAAGGCTTCATCTACATTACCTTGTTCTACGAGAACTCTCCACAAACTCGTATACGCCCCTTGATGCTGATTTCGAAAATTAACTTTCCACTCATCTTTAGATATTAGAAGTACTCTCAAGGAATTGAATAAGTTTATGCTAGCTTGGTAATGTTCAACGGCTTTTAGCAGTCCACCTTGAAACTCAAAATCCAATCCTAATGAATAGTAGGCAATTGCCTCCAAGGATTTGTCTCCTACTTCTTTAGCTATTATAAGATGTAGGTTGTGGTACTCTATGGCTTTTTTGATATCACCCAGAATGCCATAAGCATTGCCAAGATTGCCATAAGCTTTACCCTCCCCATGCTTGTCTCCTACTTCTTTAGCTATTTTAAGATATGGGTCGAGATACTCTATGGCTTTTTTGAAATCACCCAGAGGGCAATAAGCATTGCCAAGATTGCCATAAGCTCTACCCTCCCCATGCTTGTCTCCTACTTCTTTAGCTATTTTAAGATGTAGGTTGTGGTACTCTATGGCTTTTTTGAAATCACCCAGACTAAAATAAGCATTGCCAAGATTACCATAAGCTTTACCCTTCCCATGCTTGTCTCCTACTTCTTTAGCTATTTTAAGATGTAGGTTGTGGTACTCTATGGCTTTTTTGAAATCACCCAGACTAAAATAAGCATTGCCAAGATTGCCATAAGCATTACCTTCCCCATGCTTGTCTCCTACTTCTTTAGCTATTTTAAGATGTAGGTTGTGGTACTCTATGGCTTTTTTGAAATCACCCAGACTAAAATAAGCATTGCCAAGATTGCCATAAGCACCACCCTCCCCATGCTTGTCTCCTACTTCTTTAGCTATTTTAAGATGTAGGTTGTGGTACTCTATGGCTTTTTTGAAATCACCCAGACTAAAATAAGCATTGCCAAGATTACCATAAGCACCACCCTCCCCATGCTTGTCTCCTACTTCTTTAGCTATTTTAAGATCTAGGTTGTGGTACTCTATGGCTTTTTTGAAATCACCCAGACTAAAATAAGCATTGCCAAGATTGCCATAAGCACCACCCTCCCCATGCTTGTCTCCTACTTCTTTAGCTATTTTAAGATCTAGGTTGTGGTACTCTATGGCTTTTTTGAAATCACTCAGACTAAAATAAGCATTGCCAAGATTGCCATAAGCGTTACCCTCTCCATGCTTGTCTCCTACTTCTTTAGCTTTTTTAAGATATAGGTTGAGGTACTCTATGGCTTCTCCCCGATTATAGAGATCTATGACTTTCTTGACATCACCTGAACTTGCACTACCGTGGTCATGACTAATAGGATCTTTTTCCTCCATGGACTTATCTCCCACTTCACTGAAAGACTGAAGTCTTAATGACAACAAGATCCTATTGTTTTTGTCAATCTTTTTTATGTTAAGGGTTAAAAATGTGGAAAAAACAAAAAAGATTATGTTTCTGATCATATTGATATGTAATAGTCCATTTTAACATTTGCGTGCTTGGTTCCCAAACCTCTGAACAAGAGCGATGATTAAGGGTGACTTTGTTATGATAAAAACATTGCTCCTTTTTAAATGCAAACTACTTTGTTATTATCGTTTCTAGATACAGGTCTCTATCACAACAAGGTCACCTTCAGCCTCACTCCAAATCAAAGGCTTGGCAACTAAGTACACAACTATAAAATGGCCCACTAGGAGGGCTTTGCATGAAAGGTAGATGATTTATCAACATTCAGTCTTAAAGTCAGTTATGAAGTAAATCTACACTTCAAAAAATGTTTTTTTCTGTGTGCAGCCTCACATTTTAACGCGAAATATCTAGATTTAATCCCTAGTTTCCAAATACTGAGCAGCACTTGCTCAATTTTTTAATTAATATAGCTTTAACATCAGACAAATGTTTTCCAACAGTGGAAGAAATGAGTCTATAACACAAATACATGTCTTTAAAATTTTTATTTGTCCATAGGAAAGCACAACGAAAGTTTCTGAGTCTCTAAGTAGTGAAAAAAGGTCTAAGGCAAGAAAATCTGCATAAGATATGTAAACATTACCGAGCTTTTTGTTCAGGCTTGTTTTAGAGAGATCATCGACCCAAGTACTATGTATAAACCGCCGCCTGGTTAGCTCAGTTGGTAGAGCGCCAGTCTGTTGTGCGGGAGGTCGAGGGTTCGAGCCCCAGACCGGACCAACACTCAGGGTCTTAAAATAACTGAGGAGAATGTGCTGCCTTTGTAATTGTACCAGCAAATGGTTCGACATTCAAGTCTTCTCGGATAAGGACTATAAACCGTAGGCCCCGTCTCCTGCATCTTCAGTGTTACATGGTCAGCAGGGGAAGTTAAAGAACCCACACACTTGTCGAAAAGAGTAGGGGGCCTAGTTCCCGGTGTGGTGGTCTATCTGTTGTTTCATTGTACATTTCATGCATGGGCTGGGTGGGTGAGTGAGATCAAATATGGAGTGATAGCGGCAGCCAGAGGCGCCTTTACAAGCTGACGTTCGATCTCACTCAATTAGAATTGTAAACCGCCTTGAGACAGTATGTGATATGTGCGGTATATAAATACACATTCATTCATTCAAACTGGATGAATATTAGTCTTCTAACCCTTTAACTCCCGTGAGTGACCAAAAGAGAATTTCTCCTTACAATAGCAATACAATATCAATCAGATAAGTGCTGAGAGTAAAAATATATTAATTTAAAAATAGTTAGTTGATGCAATACTGAATTCTCTGTACTAACATTACAAGAATTGTATGGTTGACAGTAAGGATAATTACAAATTTGGTCTAGGAAATTAAAGGGTTATTTAAACTAATGTACCAGTTATTGGCATGGATAGTAGAACTAAGTCAAATTGGCTAAAAGGAGTAATTTCATGAATAAGTCATGAGGTAATAACTTCTCCTATGTTTTTAATCACACACACTTAAAGTATATGAGCTGACAAGTTCCCATCATGAGTAATACCCTTCTTTGTATTTTCTCCCTTGAAACATCAAATTATGAAAACTTTTTTCCATTATACCCACGGTTAAGATGAAAGATTCCTTCAAAGGATACAGCTAGTCCCTTATCACACCAAGTGATTGCTTCTTCAAATCTCTTCAATTCAACACAAGCAGTGGCTCCTGTAGGCAACAACACAAAGAAGCATATTATTACTGTAGCTCAATTCAAGTCCTGATCCTTCTTTTTAAAACAGCTAGATAGTGACTTAAGAGCGTGTCCACGAGAGCACCGGGCAGTCGTGCTACATGCCATCTCACCGATTTCAGTGAAACTTTGTCAGTTTAAAGGGTCTGCCCCAAAACTCAAAAAAACAGACTGGCTTCTGTCTTGGTTTTTTCCGGGGGGAGATAGACCACCCCCCGGTTTTTCTTGGTTTTCACCAAGGAAATCGCTTCAAATAGGTAAAATGTATGAAGCTCTCACTGCGATGGTATTTAACCGATTACTTAGAGGATTTGCACACATATTTCTACATCCTTAGTTAATGGCCGCCGCAAGTATCAGTCAGTTTGATCGACGGCTTGTCAATCAACAGAGGCAAATATACGACTGTGTTTTTAGACTTTTCGATTACATCTAAATATTTTACAACTTTGAGGTCAAATATCTGCCGTTGCCAGAAAGCAACAACACTAATCTTAATTACCCTTTGTAACCCATCATTTCATCTCTGAAAATCATCAACAAAAATATTTGGGCATTACCGTATTTTTTTCTTGGATACCTTTTAAAATCTGCGACTGTGACAAGTTTCTCTCAACTACACCTGTCACGTAATTATTGCTCTAGGCGGTCACTTGACAAAATAAGCCTACATTTTTTAGCTCTCTATGCAAGATGGTTGATCAAGAAAGGTGAAAAATGTGAAAAACTTTCGATATTTTTTGTAGGAATGAAAAATTTCACGTTTAGAGAGATGCATGTTGACGGAAGATCAATGGGAAAATCGTAGCGTTTCTTTCTTCAGTCGTTTATTACTTTGAAGATTTGCTAAAATCAGGACATAGGGCTCTTGTACAGAACTTTTAACATTCATTAGCCTATAGTTTGATCGTCTATTATCATTATCGCACAGTTTACAATAAGGAAACTGTAACAGGAGAGGAGATTTTAAAGTCACATGTCGCCTGCTTGTTGACGTACAAGTTCCTGAGTGTAACAACTTCGGCTTTTCCATACCGCGAATGACGGGAAAATCTGCCCCCTTTATTTGTTAGGAAATATCAATAGCCCCATAAATTCATTAACTACGCCATGTTTCCAGAAAATAAGACTGGAAAATGTTTTTTTCCACTTTCCACCATCAAGAAATTCCACGTATAGGAATAGTAGGGTCACTGCGTGACCTTTTATGAGAAGTAAAAATTGTTCATCTTTTTTTTTTTTCCAGAAGGCACCTCTGAAAAGTTCTTAATCCTTCTGTTATCTTATTTTCCTGTTTTTTGACTGCAAATATCATCTGCGTTTGCTATTATTTTCGCTGATTGTCATGGCCTTTCCTGCGTGCACGTGCGAGCTAGTTCATATGCAGAACTCTTTCGAGTTTCTCTGGCTGGTGTCGGGCTTATGTGTGTAGGTCTGGTTCAAAAGATATCTGCACGCTGCAACACGGGTTCCAATGTTTTCCCCTTTTTAACTCGTGAATTGCGCGCATGCGCAAGAGTGAGTTATAGATACGATGTCGGGAATGGCATACGCTCGCTCGCTCGCTCGATTGGTCGATTCCTGTAAACTTTTTTCAGATTTTAGGCTTTTGAGTGCATTTTATAGTTTTTGGCGAGCAATAAACAGACGAAATGGCGACCTTTGTTGCTAAAAATAGTGGTGGAGTGAAAAAGAAGCCAATGATAATCTTAAGAGAGTTTTTTTTTTTCGTTTTAGTTTCAACAAGCGGCGCCAGCGACTGGCAGGCATGCAAGGATTCACACTGAAATAACAGAACAACCTTCGTTTTTCATAAAATTGTAATTTACAATCCTTGAACTTGAAAACAATCCGAAGATTCATTGAAAATATCACTTACTGCGGAGCGCTCGGAGTTTACAGATTTTCAAAAGCTTTTTCTGTTATAGCGTGAGATTGAGGACAAAATTGATCATTACGTTTCGTCGCGTGTGTTTTTCCTGTGTGAAGCAACAGAAGATGCCGGCGACTGACGAAATAACAAGTTAACACGAAAATCAAATAACACCTAAACAAACAATTTTAGCTACTGATTTTCAGTGAATTTTTAAAGAACAATTTTCTTTTAAGTTTCAAGACAATTTGAAGATTCAACATAAATACAACGTACTAAAATGCGAAAGTTACACACCACAAAATTGATAAATAGGCCTGAAATGAGATTCTATCTTGTTATTGATTATACGTTGCCTAGCACGTGACTTAAATCTACCCAAGCGGAGATCCAAAATGACGGTGGCAGGCTTGGCTTAGTTATATCACTCAAAACTCGTTCCCGTTTGTCTTATTTGATAAAGAGGGAATCGTTAATGTTTTCATTAAGACAGTATTGCCTTGATTTTCTAATATTTACAACGAAAGACAGTAAATTTCACTTTTCACCCACATTTACTTCCAACCTTTTCTTTTGAACCAGAAACAAAAATGATAGACGTTTAAAACACATGACATCATTCACCTTGTCAAATGTAATAGCATCATCATTTTAACTGTAATGCCTTCTTATCCCAACAATACTTTGTTTCTTTGCTACATTAGCGAACACTGAACTACTGCTCGTACTCTAGATATGACAATCAACCACAAAATTCCCTAAACCAGATAACATTAAACATAATCTAAAAAATCATGTGTCAATTCACGAGTTTGCTCACAGAGCACTTTGATTCTTCATTTGTATTTTCATTCTCTTGCTTGCATTATCACACATTTATGTTTTTTTATTCCATCAGCACGTTCCCTCAGATTTGCAAGTAAGCCATGAAAAGTCAATATTGACCAGAACTGAAATCTTTTTCTATCACTATTTGTTTCAGAGAACCCCCGTCACTTGTGACTTTATTTCTCAAGAAAATGTGTTTTTATTTGCTATTTATTTCCATTAGAACATGAAACTAGGTCCTGATAAGTTTTTTTTGTCTCGTGACTCCCAAAAACCGTGTTTGCGACAACATCAATTGAGAAATCAAAGGCAATTACGCCTGAGAAATTCGCTTCTAGCCTTCTACCCGCAGAAGGCAACTCCATATAAGGAAACGTTCTAAGACCTCTGTAAACTAGAGACATTGGGTGATGTTGAGGAGTGAAATATTTACACTAAATCTGTGACCCTTAAACGGATCACGTACTCGTACGTGTAACGTCCGGAAAATGTCACGCATGTTAACATCGTAGGCGCACCTGGCGTATTCTATCCACTGACTTCAATAGTAAAGAGACAACTTATTTACTATTTAACAAATAGAGAAGCCTTGACTGTGCTCTGTTCTGTTATAAAGCACTTAGGAAGCGGCTAGAGCGCGAAAGAAGTGTAGGGAGAAACACAAGACGTAGTCGAGTGTTTTTTCCCACTTCTTGAGTGCTCTAGCCGCTTCCTAGGTGCTTTATAACAGAACAGAGCACAGTCAAGGCTTCTCTATTTGTTTTATAATAAAGAATCCGTTAAATTACCCAAGCATTACTTTCAATTTTCAAAACAAACTTTATTTCCCAAAGCGAACAAGCTTGTGATGACAGCGCCGCAAAACTCGGCTGCAGTGACTGATGTGAATTGCCACTCAACGTATCGGAAAGGATATCAGAGCAAGCTCTTATTTTTTCACTCGAAGGGCGGCCGATTTAGTTTCTGAGGCTTGCTTTACTGTGATGACCGGAGATTGCCATGATGAGCGAGCCGCGATGAACTTAAGCATGATCATATTCGCTCATACTTTGTATACTATACGAGTGTTATACCCCGTTCACACCAAAACTTAAACATGTTTAAATCTTGTTTTACTAAACTGGTTTTATTAAACTACCTGTTCACACCGCGGGTGCGTGTAGCCAAACATGTTTAAAACCGTGTTTAATAAAACTACCTAAATGAGGTTGTTTAACTTTCGTGTTTAACTAAACACATTAAAGATGGCGGTTGCCAAAAAAACCCGCAGAAGGATTTGGGCAAACCAGGAAACGTTATTGTTACTACAGAAGTGGGGGGACGAAATATACAAATGAAGTTAATATCTTGTACCAGAAAGAGGCCTATATGGCAAGAAATAAGTGATTTTATTCGAGCGGCAGGCTACGAAGACCGTGATGAAGATGCCTGCAAAACAAGAGTACACACATTAGTAAGTGCGTATCGCTCCTACAAAGACGAATGTGAGAAGACCGGAAACGGACTCCAAAGAGGAAGCCGGCGTTTTCGACGAAGTCGATGAATTTCTCTCAAAACCATGTACCAAACCGAAGGTTGTGGTAAATTCTTCAAAAATTATCATTGAGGCGGACAACGAAGAAGAAGACAATGAAAAAATTAAGAACGATGAACCAAACGAAGAGTTGCCTTCCTTCAGCGGCGGCACCAGCGTCGGCAGCAACAACAAAACAGCCGGCAAATTTCCTTAACCAAACAAGGGTGAATGTTTGACAGGTGAGCTTTGAAAACTTTCGCTGATTGGAGGGTCAGACAATAGGCCAAGAAAATGTTTCAATATCGGCGCCTACGTTGTCTGTAATCTCTAACAAAATTTCTTGATAATTTTACTTCCAAGATGAGTGGATTTGAACAAAAATATGGAGATAAGTATTGGCTCAAACTTTAACTTCTGCCTTTAAAGATTTCTTGTATTCCTTCACAGAAAGAACAACAGATGCTGGCAAGCCATTTTTCAAACCCGCTACGAAGAAGCGGAAGGTGTCAACGACGGATGCCTTAACACAAATTGACAAGGCGTTGGAGGCATTTGTTTCCTATCAACAAGCTGCTGATAGGAGTTTTCTTGCTGCAGAGGAGGCTCGTTAAAGACGAGAAGAAGAAAGGGAGGAGAGAAGAAGGAAGGAAGACCAGGAGTTTCTGCTGAAATTGGCGCAGGTACTTCGAAAATAAAAAGTACGTGTCTTCAACAATTTAATTTGCGATCGTACCTGCGACAGTTTCAGTTGGTTTAGTTTTCGGCTTTATTTATGTTGTAAGTTGAACGATGTTTCACGAAATCTAATGGCCGATTCCCAGTCGTTGGAGAAGGTGCAAGAAAAAGAAAAAACTATATTGAACTTAACGCTTAGATCATTGATGTTGACATGCTCTGGTTAACTTTTCTTTACTTGAACTAATTTTCTTCTATAGTTGTCTTCAATTGAATATGCTTTTTTTTTCTTTGAGAAAATAAAAATCGTTTTTTTTTTTTAAGTGTTATTTTTAATTTTCCGGCAGAGCCTAGTTGTTCAGAGGCCGATTAACACTAATCCAGGGTTAAATTTTGATTCAGCTTCTTTATTTCTTTATTCAGGAGTCTTTTTTTGGGATAATTTTCCTATTCCTTTTAGACCATCTAATCATCAAATTGTAGACAAAAAAAAAAAAAAATGGATTTCTTTTTAAATTTTCATATTTGAAATCAAATTTCACACTAACCCTGGGTTAAGTTAAGCCACCTTTGAACGACCTGGCCCAGAGTATTTAAAAAATGCTCCGGAAAATTAATGAAATAAATGAATATTTTTGTGCACAGTGGTTAGGATCTTTTGGAAAAATTGATTTAATATTTGAAATAAAGTTTTGATCCACCTTTTAAATGATGAAATTTGTTTCTGAGGTTCCATCAGTTGTTCAGAGAGAGAGGGTCAAATGAATGATGTCTTTTAAGTCTCCTTGATAAATTTACAACAGAGAGCTCTGTGTGTTTGTTTGCTTAATTATTCTTTCTTGTAAGGGACTAACCAAAAAAGTCTGGTGTATAATTACACAGTCACTTGCAATGGAACAAGAGCAAAAAGTTAGTGAATTAAATTAGTTTTGCTGACATTAATGCCAGCTGAGGCCATGTCACTGAGTGAGTAGATCTCCTTGCTATTCGAACTGAACACTTTGATCGAAAAGCTGAGATTGTCCCCCTCCTTCTTTATGCTTACATCTAATACTCAGTGAGGAAGATGCAAGTCTTGCACTCAAATTAGTATTTTATGTGAACATGTAGTATGCATGGCTAAATTAGCATATGTCACACCATGGGTTTCAAACTACTCCCTAATTTTTTAGCATAATTTCAGTGCTAATATGTTTATTTCACATGTGAAATGGCAAACTTGCAATGACTGCATCTTTAATTGTTCTGAGATGGTGTCCAGGTTTTGAAATGTTCAAAAAAAATGTGGGGGTTTCCAAGAACACCACAGACAATCAAAGTTTGTCATCAGTAATTTTAATTTACACAATTGACAATTTACTTTTCAAATCTCCTTTATACAAATGTAATTACAAATGGAACACTGTTTGACCCTCTTAGAGGAGTGTCCTTCAAAAGATCTTCACTCTTCCATTATTTATGAAACTATTTGCACTGTATACAATAAACCTTAAAGGGAGAAAGTATTCATATAAACGACTTTTTTGAGCTAGAGGTGCAAACTCTTTGATGGATTATTTGCCTGTGAGAGATGCTTATGTTGAACACTCATGTTCAAGTGATGCATGTGACAATGAATATTTATATTAAGAATCTTTTAATTGCATCTCTTATTGCAACAGTATTTGTGTTCTGCCTTTGGTTTGGATCACCTGGACAAACTCCAGCATGAATGTGAATATCATTGAGCCATTGGTCATCAAAAGACTCGTTTCGCATCTCACAATAATTATGTAAAACACAACACGCTGCGATGACATTGCAGGCATTTTCAACTTTTAAGTCCAGTCTCTTTCCAATGCTTCTGAACCTTCCTTCAATCGACCAAAGGCATTTTCAACAACTACTCTAGTCGTGCTGTGTTTTATGTTGAAACTGCGTTCCTCCGGGGTCAGATTTCCACGATCAATATATGGTTTCATCAGCCAATTGCTGAGAGCATAAGCTGAGTCACCTAATATCAGGGGAGGAACTTGTACACCAGATATCATCACCGACATATCGAGCGGAAGAAAAGCTCTGGCACAACACAAGGCAAACAATGGAGAGTTCTTGAAGACACGTGCGTCGTGTACTTTACCCGGCCATCCAACACATATATCAAGAAATAGATAATAACAATCTACTAGCCCCTGAAGGATTAATGAGTGGAATCCCTTCCTGTTAACATAATCATCTGGACTTTGCCGAGGTCCAATGACTGGGACATGGCAACCATCGACTGCTGCAACCACCTGGGGAAAGCCCGCGCGACTTTTAAAACCTTCAATTTTTTCTTGGACTTCATGTTGATTTTGGGGAACGTTTATATAATTGGGAAGAAGAACGTTCACTATCACCTCGCATACCTGTCGCACAATACCACAAACAGTGGATTTTCCGACACCAAATAGATTTCAGATCGTTCGAAAGTGAGCCGTGTCCGCGAGCCAATAATATAATGTTATGGCAACTCGATGGCGCACTGTAATGGCTTTCCTGTAATTGGTGTCCCTTTTAGAGATATGTGGCGAAAGTTCTCGGCAAAGGCGATTAAATGCTTCTTTAGACATGTGGAAATTCTCATTCCAGTCCTTTTCTTCCCAATCTTGGCAAGTCTCTTCCCAAAATATCTGCGACCGGGGTTTTAGCCAAATACGGCGAACAGGAAGATGTCGGAGAAGAAATCGAAGCAAAAAACGGAAAAACAATGATGAAATGAGACGTCTCCGACGGACATAACGATTAAACCGTCTCTCTGCGTTTCTCTGTCGGTTTTGTGTAATTCTGAGGTTTTCCCTCAGCCGTGACTGCGCCAACAACAGCAGGATATTGTGATTTAAACTTACCGCCATTTTGATTGCGTCTTTAATTTTGTTGGCAACAATTAATATCAAAACGAGGCTGCGCATTACCTAACCCAGTCTGCAGTGTGAACGGTTCTTGAGCAAAACATGTTTTATAAAACCATGTTTAAAAAAACTACGTTTAATGAAACTTGTTTAAATTGGTGTGAACAGGGCATTAGATGTGTTTGATTTTTATAACCGTAAGTGAGCTTGCAATCTAACTGAGCGTGAAAATCTTCAAAACTCGGAATGTTTATTTTGTTTTTCCTTTGAGGATTTTCGTATCTGCTCACGTTTTAATAGCGTAAATTACGGCGCCTGGTATGTTTACAAACCTTTGTTTGATTTTTCTGTTGCTACTTGCCGGCTCGCTTCAGTTCCGAAATTTCACTTTCAATTATCGGAAAAAAGCTAAAAAGAAGTCCCGGAAAAGCTCGAACATAGTACAATTGGCAGATGGCGTGACAGCTTTAGCTCAGCTCTATCCTCTATACCCTCATAGAGCACGCTCTTTCAACCAATGACAGCGCGCGTTATATCCGAACTTTATTATAATTGTATATGAGCAAGCTTATTTACCCTACTTGGAAAAATCCCTGATGAAGTCTATTATTGTCAGACGAAACGCGTGGGAGATAAATATAAGTTTTTTCTTTCTCAGTTCGTGCAGTGATACTCACTAGTTTGTTCCGTCAAAAATGCTTTTAATGTGAAGTCACGTCGACCTCGACAGAAAAACTAAGCTCACTCTGTCATAATCAATGGTTTGATACCGTAAGTACCAATTTATGTACATCATTGGGCTTTGATCACAATGATGAAAAAAAATGTGCGTTTCCTCACGCTCGCCACGTTTATTCTTTGGAAAACTTTTTTACTGGAGGACGATGTCGCTTACCTGTACGCGTCTTGACTCTGGCCGACGAGAATTACCGAGGTGAACTCCATGAAATTCTAGTCAAATGTTTTAAAAACTTTGTATACCCTTGATTTGCACGCAGAAAAAAAAGGCAAATCCCGAACGGTATTTCAAAACACTTTATTCATTAGTCAATTTATGACCTGCTTCATAGCAGCCCGAGGAAAAAGAAAAATTGAAACAACCGGGGTATCGGTCAAATGAATTCCAATTTTTTCAACAAGGAGTTGGCAAGTTCATGTTTCCTAGTAAATTTAAGTGGGGGTCATTTTTTTGTGACAGCCGACCAAAGATAGACATCTCTGAAATGTCTCTGAAACTCTTTTTAAAAAGAGCGTACACTTCCGGTAATATTTTCCTCCTTCTCGCAACAGCGCAACAGACATTGTTAATCCTATGTAGTGTAGGTGTATCAGTTGTATTACGTCTTCATAGTGATGCCATATAAGAAATCGAGTGTCTAAAAAGCTCTCAATTCAATCTAACACTCGAATTGATAAAGTCAAGATGGTGCAGTTGTCTTGTTCATTTGCAACTAACTGTACAACAAAATGTTACTTTTCGCGCGCTGGCCAGGGACGGCAACAGCTCACACCTCTAAATTCGTGGGTATACAGCTTAAAAAAAAAGAAAAACATTTGAGAGACGTCGATGTATCCCAAACAAGCGTTTTGTCCGAGATTAAGCTTATTCTAGCGCGTATTGGCTTATTTGGAGATTACGAAGGCCGCGATTTCACGATGTACCTCAAATATCGTGCACAACTTGGTGTGAGATTCAGACCTTCGGGTTCGTAAATGCCAGAATCCTCCTCATAAAAATCGGAGACATAAAGTGAGAGAGAGATGAATCTGCAGATGGCAAAAGAAATCAAAGCTGGTGGCGAGTCTTTCTGGTGGCGGCAAGGTGACTGTAAACCTAAATAGAATGCCTACTGTAGCTACTATCTTAGAGTCGACAATGAATAAGGAAGAAGGGCAAGAAGAGCGCTTATCTGAACATCAGTTTTCTTAACTGGTGATTTGTGACTGAGATGAACTTTTATATCATATGATTCCTAAGGATACGCAGGTACTGTAGAGGCGCTCACATAGATAGAGGTGGGCGATCCTCCCTCTGACTTAAGAACTGCGACAAGTTTATAGCACAGACCAACTGGCACAGTTTGAAGCACCTCAGGGTCTCACTAGGTTTCAGCAAACTAATCGTAGAAGCGGTTGGTTATCAGCAACGTGCACAGACTTCTGAACGCGGGTCATCGCGAGAACTATACCCAATCCGTCATAGACGGAACAAGAAAGCGAGATATTCTCGCTAAAAGAAGGATTATCAAGACGTTTCAGTCATTGGCTGCCATCCAAATGTACCCTAACAAAGACAAACACAGTGAGGCCGACAAAAAAATTCCGCCTAGGATAAGATCAAGAGGAAATGGACTAAGACCGGCTTGCCATTCTATAGGGGATGACTACGTTCCAGGTCGGACCTCAGGTAAAAATTCTGACGAACAATCCCTAACTAGCCAAGAGGACTTTGGATGGGCTCTTTGGAAAACACGAAAAACAGCCACCTTTTCTCAGAAAGCAGACAATTATCTCCTAGACGTGTGCTGGACAAGGGAGGAAACTAGTAAGGCAACCGCCTCTAATGTGATTTCCCAAATATCGAGTTTAAGATACGACACCAGCCACAAATGTTGTCTAAGACTGACCGGTTGATATAGCAGCAAATCGCTCGATACTTCAGCCGCTTATCTGCCGTAACAAAAATTGGTTTATTGATGAGGTCCCCCTCTGTAAATATGAAAAAGGACGGAGAGGCCGATGCCAATGATCTAGCTTCAGAATTCGAGACTGACCGAACAAGGCAGAAAATAAGTAGAGACCTTGCAAAATTTAGACGAAGACTGCAGGAGAGGGTAAAGCTGCTATTAAGCTAAAAAAAAAAAGACATTTGCATCTCACTTTTCTCTCATATTTATTGCCTTTGCTCAAGAAAACAACTGGCTATGTCTTGAGATTTCATCAAGGGAAATTTGCAGGAAGGCTACTCGTCAAATTACCGCTGGCTCAGATTCTTATTTAAAAATTTTACAAGTCACGCAATTAAACGCCGGCAACACTCGATCTAGAGAGATGTAGATTCATGTGTAGTAATAGAATGCTTGAAAAAAATATGCAGATATTTTAAGATATAAGCAGGCAAATAATCATAGAGATCTGCAAATTAATCTGAAATTGTTATCTAACAGACAACATGAACAACGCGCTTGAATAATTCCTACTAAGAGTCTTCGGGTCACACAACAGATGTTAGCTTAGCGGAGTTCTGCATGGAAATGTTCGATGGCGGTAAGTGACAACGACAACACTTTTTTAATTTTATTTTCGGGATAGAGGCACAGTTTTTAGTCCGATAGAACTATTGATATTTGCTCTCGAGCGAGAGCGCAGAATTTCCGGTCTGTAAAAGCCGAACTTGTAGCACACTGGAACAATTAGTAATATCAACCAACACGCTGCATGTGACTTTAAAATCTCCTAAAATGAGCAATGATGATGATTAACCATCATATTATAGACTAATGAATGTTTTGTGCCGTACAAAAGCCATATCTGCTGATTTTAGCAAATCTTCAAAGTAATAAACGACTGAAGAAAGAAACGCTACGATTTTCCCATTGATTTTTCGTTTACATGCATCTCTCTAAACGTGAAATTTTCCATTCCTACAATAAATCTCGAAAGTTTTTCACATTTTTCACCTTTCTTGATCAATCATCTTGTATAAAGAGCTAAAAAAATGTAGGTTTATTTTGTCAAGTGACCGCCTAGAGCAAGAATTGCGTGACAGGTGTAGTTGAGAGAAACTTGTCACAGTCGCAGATTTTAAAAGGCATCCAAGACAAAAATACGGTAGTGCCCAAAGATTCTTTTGATGATTTTCAGAGATGAAATGATGGGTTGTAAAGGGGAATAAGGATTAGTGTTGTAGCTTTCTGACAACGGGAGATATTTGACCTCAAAGTTGTAAAATATTTGGATGAATCGAAAAGTCTTAAACCAAAGTCGTATATTTGCATCTGTTGATTGACAAGTCGTCAATCAAATTGACTGATACTCGCAGCAGACATTAACTAAGGATGTAAAAATATGTGTGCAAATCCTCAAAGTAATCGGTTGGAGACCATCGCCGTGAGAGCTTCATACATTTTACCTATTTGACGCGATTTCCTTGGTGAAAACTAAGAAAAACCGGGGGTGGTCTATCTTCCCCCGGAAGAACCAAAACAGAAACCAGTTTGGCTCTTTGAGTTTTGGGGTAGACCCTTTCAACTAACAAAGTTTCATTGAAATCGGTGAGATGACTTGTAGCACGACTGCCCGGTGCTCTCGTGGACACGCTCTTAACATATCTGACACCCGTGACTCATTGGACTTAATTAAGGAACTAAAATATTCATGCTGAAATTTTGCTTTGCATTCCGCATTGAGTTCTTCATCCCGTTAAAAATAATATTCTTATCATGATTAATGGAAATTAATAGCGTAGCAGTCAAGAGCTGGATTCAAATGTACATCAGGGTGGTCTCGACCTCTTAATTAAAGTCAATTGAGACAAGATTGAACTCCATTTAACCTCATTTAACCTTAGAGTGTTGAGTTCTTTTGTTATTATCATTATAGCACAGCTAAGATATCTAACCTCTCACAATTGCCTCAAGGAAAGTTGGATTTAACTCAATGGCTGCTTCTGCATCCCTTAGTGAATCCTGGTGATTTCCTGTTATTGAAATAAATATCTCTGATTAGCCATACATGTTGCAAACCAACTACCATTACTATAATTTTGGGAAAAACTTGTGATGCTCATTGATATCTGGGGTAAGAGGTTACTTCTTTGTTTATTTGAGAGGCCAAGAGAAGATCTAAATTTTCCGGGCATGCATTCAAAATTATCACCTTTTCAGAAAACTAGTACTGACAACTCAATAGCTTCAAAATAGAAAAAAAATGCATATTAAAGCTCTCATCATCTTACCAAGTTTAAAATGTGCAATAGCCCTGTTGTTGTGCAGTTTGACCTTCAGTTCTTTCTCATTGCAGTTCATTTTAATTCCTTTGGTGTAAAAATGAATAGCATTGATGAAATCTCCTTTCTTGAAGGCCTCATTACCCTCATTTCTATAAACATCAGCTGTGGCTGCAAAGAAAAAATAAAAAATAATTTCTGTCAAAGTCTGTGGTTGTAGTTAATAATTACCTGTGGTTGTAGTTAATTAGTGCATAAGCAGAGCTGCCAAGATCTAGAGATTTAAAATCTGCAGATTTTTCCTTTAGTGCCAGCTGCCACTTTTGCACCTGCCTGACTTGACCCATCCCCTGAAAAGCTTGGAGTAATACTGCTGAATCATTCACTAAGCTCATGAGAATAAAGGAAATGATCACAAACCTAAGAAGCATTGATCTTCAAATGTATTCTCTTTTTCAGTACCACAAGAAACATACAAAGAATAGTATGGAGAATATGGATACTGATGTTAGGGTGTCAAGGGTTAAACACCTCCATATTCAATGATATAACACTTGCACTCTACTGGAAATTGGTTGCTTAGGGGAAGTTGAAACTTTCAATTTAATGTTGCATAATCTAATGGAAAGATGATGATGATGATGGTACTTATGATGCAAACTTACAAAATGAATGTTATATGATGATCAAATAAAGTCTTCACTTACTATAACTTTGTGTACTCGCTTTGAAATTTGAGAAAAGAAAATAACAAATATGTCATGGATCCTCTCAGTCAATCATCAGCATATTATAATCATAGAAGAGAGTCATGACTGGCCAAACATCCTATAAGGTGGTCATGCAGTGTATTAATATCATTCTCCACACCTGCTTACATTCTTGAAACTGGTGGAATAGAAAATGTTTGAACAGTGACTGAAGCCAAAGTTGAACCTAGCTCACCTCGTAAAGTGTCCTCATCAAAATCTGGAGCATTTTCTTTGTCAGGTAAGTCGTCATTTTCAGATGGAACCTTAATTGGACTTCCTTCTTTAGCCATAGCAACTGTAAGGGGATGCTTCTTTCAAAAAGTTGCTGTTTTAAGTAATCCTGGCCTGAAAAAAAAAATATGGTTGCAAATGGTAAAAAAATTAGCTCAACATATTACCCAATTGTAAACTAAATATTTTTTCCCTCCTGAGAATGGGAGGGATACATAGACACAAAATCACAAGCAATTAATATTAATAGCATATTTAAAGCAGTAAAAGAACAAAAGATATATATACTGAAGAAAACAAGCATTAATATTTAAATAAACAGTAATTCACTTCTCGTTGCAATAAATTTCAAGATTTACCAAAAACATTCCTATGCAATTGATTGAAATAAATTGGGCAAAAATCAACATCTGTGTGTTTCAAGTTTATATAATTTGTAACAGTAGCAATTTAAATCATTTAAACTAAGAGGTGGTAGGTAGTTAGGTCACATCTGGATTTGAAAAGTGGCCCGTCCAGGGCCTGAGCTTTACTTAATCCTGGTTTCCTTACATGAAGCAACTGGGAGTATTACTACCCAACCCTGGACAGGATGCAAGTCCATTCCACTGTCATCTCCCCCCCCCCTTTCACCCCCCTTGCATTTTGTCAGGTTTCCCTAACTAATTTTTGCTACCCATTTATACTCCTGGGTGGAGACAGACACTGTAAGAGTAAAGTGTTTTGCACAAGAACACAATACATTGACTGGAACCCAGACCTCTTGACCCTGAGTCCAGCACAGGCCAGGCTACAAATGCAGACCTCTTGACCGTGCATCCACCTCACTAATCATAAGACCACCATGTCTCCGCAAGAGGAGAGAGTTTATGCTGAATCGTTTCTCATAAGAAACAAATTTTACAACACCAAAGTAAAATTTTCATATTTGATTTTTAAATAGGGATTACTAGTCAAAACTTATAAAAGATGTATTTTATTTATTCAATTTCCTACAGTTGAGCTGATGCCCATATTTGTATAGGTGATTGTTAGTTCAACTGTTTCACTTTATCACAGGAAAAACAGTGAAATATTTACATTTATGCATGCTGATGTATGTTGAAATGGATTTCAATTTGGTACAGGTGCTGACATTTTTGCTTTATTAGTATAGGTATATTTAACTAATTGTTTTTGCAGTTATTCTATATTTACTTTGTCTTTGCACAAAATTGTAAGTGTATATTGCTTTTACAAAAACCACTACAAACTTCTATATAACCAGCTGATTGCCAGGGCTTTACAGAGGTATATTGGCCCAAGGTTGTAACAGTATAGGAATGACATGGTGCCATTATCCCCCAGTACCCTTCAAGAGAGCAAGGTAATTGTCATGCACCAATGTCACTTGGACTAAACTAGTTTACAATGAATTTAAATGTTTTATAACTTTCTGTATGGTGCAATGATGGTCTATTTGGCAAAATCCTGACCAAGTAAGAACCAATCAGAACTTTACATTTCTCCCAAGACTACCATGCCATATAACAACATAAACTATCAACAAACACATACTTGGATGCATGCGGCCTCATGCAGAACTAAACCAGTTTTGATAACAAAAAATTGATCGGAAACATTCAGTTGATATGATTATTGATTGATCGTATGCTGATTAGCAGATGACAAAAGGTAAAACTTCACTCAGATACTAATCAATCATTACCAGTTGATGAATTGGATTCCTAAAACTCCAATGCAGTTAATTGAAAGGACTCTTGCAGTAAATAACTAGCTGAATTTGAAGAAAAATCAACTTGTCTCGATATTTAACAAGGAAATCAGTATAACAGTACAGTTTGGAAGGACAATCTAAGCTGTCTATCGAAAAGAAAAAATCACTTTCAAACTACAGTATAAAATGATAAACATAAACACATGATATACGCTGAAAATATTTATCGCTTTTTGATCAAATGCATCGTAAATACGGGAGCAAATTAAGTTGATACGTACATAAGCCCGACATGAAAGCTAGTGCCAAACACGATTGTGTACATGCTCCGCATGACACGTAAACGAAACTGAAAGTGTTGCGATCAAAAGGGCTTGCACTGAATCAAATCGATAATTTCGATATCCTTTGTAACTCTCCCGAATAACTTATTTTGTCCAAGGTAAATGCCAGGCATTGCTTGCGAATTTTTGTGAATTCGACAGCTGTAACTTGTTCAAACAAGCTTGTAGCTAACACGAAGCGGCAATACAATTAATACACGCCAGAATAAAGTAAAAGTTGGCAATCGTCGTCACTTAACTGCAGGAACGTCTTTCATTGTCGGAAATCAGCGAAAGTTCGGAAAGATGAGGAACATTTGAAGGAGGAAATCTCAACTAAAAACATTTAAAATAAAAGTATTTACCTTACACTCAAAAATCTGATAAAACCATGCGTTCTTACCTCTGTCGCGGAAATGGAAGGCACGTTTGACTATTTTACGACCTTGCTTCCTCAGTCCGTCATGAAAATGTTTCAAAGTCACTAAGACAGAGAGAGTGCTAAGAAAGACTCGAAAGCTATGTCATGGAACGGAGAATCGCAACGGCGTGTTGTGAAAATGAAACAGGGAGTTTCTTGGCCCATAAATCTGTGCAAGCTTGAAGCCGGAAATTCTCCAACTGAAATTGAAAGAAGAGCCCACATATGGGCAGCTGTCATCGCCAAAAATACAAAAATAGAATTGCTTTGTAATAACAGATAGAGTCTAATTGTCTTTTGGAGAACTATTTATCTTATCCTAGGAGATTTATTTAAAATACAAATGGACAAGTCGCATTTGGTGAAATGAAATATTCAAACAAAAAATGGATTATACAATTGAGGAGCTGTGTAGCCACCCTTGTTGAACTGATTCAATAAAAACATGAGTGGCCAAGTGTTAACTGAAATGGTTCAGTGTCGAAATGACAAACGGTTCAGCCAACTGTACTTTGGTTCAGTAACTTGACAAAAACGGTTCAGAAAGGTGTGAAATGGCCTAGGTTATCGGCAAATGGTTAATCGTAGCCGCAATGGTTTAGTATCGCATCAATCTACTCACCGTAAAGTGAAATGGTTTCGCGTGACCCCAAATGGTTTAGCGTGACGACAAATGGTTTCCTACAAACCGAAATGGTTTAGTGTTACAGCGGTTGGTTCAGTTGGTTTACGCCTAAATTTCTGTCTTAACGCTATCATATGAAAAGATGACTACAACAGGTAGCAGTAGCCATCAACTCAACTTAGCCTGAATTACATTTAATATATATGCTCTCGACAAATGGGGTTAAAAACAGAAAAAAGCAGCATTAGGGTCTCAATGCGTGACTTTTGTCACGCAGCATCTCCATTCCTACGAGTTCTCACGTGGTCTCGATATCGAGTCACGCACTCCTTAAAACAGACATTCTAAAGCAGGTATTTATTTTACGAGACTCTTTTCAACTCGCATTTACTTTTGTTTTTCGCAAGTTTTTTTGCAGAACTTTGTTTCTTGCTTAATGGAGTGACAGACTGTCACGCACTGACTACACCACTATTATAAAATATTCACTAACATACAACTAGCGGCGTGTTGATTTGGTGTTGCACTCAGGCGGAAATTATTTCGCTGCGTTTAAAGACTAATCTTTCGCCGTTTAGAACAGACTGATGGAAATGTAGACTCACCATTAGCAAAGAAATTTTAGATTAGATTAAAACCATTCCAATTTTCGTTCGTGGGAATCGATGACTCACGCCTGAGATTCTCCTGATTGACACGAACACTCATGGTGCCACTTGGAGTTAGGCGCTTTTCAAGTTGAAAGCCATTCACTGCAACGATTTTGCTCTATAAATATGTGCATTGAGGATGCGCAATCTAATCAATCAAACTCACCTTTTATTGGTTTAAACACTAAATCATTTGCGTTTCAACGTGTACGTAACAAAAAGAGCAAGCAAATAAAAATGTAATGAGTCTCAGTAATAAAAATGAAATGAAATTGGTATATTAGGATTTAAACCCGTTTACATGTTAAGGGAAACATCTAAGAAGTAACTAACAATTTCGCTTGAGACACGAATATTATGTCGTGTGCTTTTTTAACCAGAGAGATGGGGAACGGGCTATTTACAATTGGTTAGAGACATTTTCTCGGTCGTTCGCATAGATAGAAAGTAATAGAATTCCTAATAGTGCATTTCGATTGCGTGTCTTGAAACCAAAGCCAAAGTTAATACATCGGCCAATCAGAGGAGAGGAAATTATCTCAAAGAACAGATACGAATTCAAAGTAAAACCAAGCAAAACTGCAAAGGTCGTGGAAACACGCGAGGGTACGAGTCGCAATTGGGTTTAGCGTTGCATCTGATTAGTTCCGAAGGGAGCGAGAGTTTAAATTTTCTGGACCAATCACAGAGCGTGGTGAAGCAAATTTCCGATTACTTTCGATACTCAATCGAAAATTTCGCCAAATGGGATGAGAGGCCGTCACTCCCACCAATCTATACACTCTCTGTTTTACTGCTCTATCATCCATGTTATCACTGCAAAGGTGCTTGGTTAGAGAGAATATTCTTATCATCAATGAAAAGTTTCTGCCAAAAGAAACTCGTCATTTTGAATCTAAAAGTAATTGTACCAAAGCCACGCAGAAGATCATTTATCATTTCAAAATATTCTGAGTGTTGTGCTCCCATAGACCAATGCACCTTATGAACTTGGACAGTAAGTTCTAAAATAGTGGCAAGCAAGTTCATTAGAGAGATGGCAAATAACACCAGCACGGAAAGCTTTGACGACACAAAGATATAACTGGGATATTGACGCTTCAAAAAATTCAACTGCGTATAATTAAAAAAGCCAACAAATAAAGTTCTAAGAATATAGTTAAAAGCCAAACCCATCAATATTATCCAGGAATTGATGGATTTGGCAGATATAGCGAGCTTGATGTATCTGGTCAAGGATACAAACAAAAGAATCATCAGAGTCCAACAGGAGGGAAGAAATTTCAGCTGATGTAGGATGGCTTTGTATCCAAGAAAATCTGGAACTTTCTGCAGTGCCAAAATGATGATGATTGTGAAAACAGAGAGTATAGCAAGCCATGTTATCAGCAGTTCTTCGGAATATGGAAACACTGCGCCTTTCTCACAAAAATAGACAGTGGAATTGTCTTTGAAACAATTTACACTACGAATCATGTACACACATGGGCCACAACATTCCATAGTAACAGCAAGGCAAAGCCTACAGCCCACAGTTTGATGGATCTTTTGTTTTGCCTGTCTTCGTTTGGAAGAGGCAGCTAATAGCTTGAGCGGTGCAGGAGTGATGCATGCTCGTCTATGTCCACACGGGTTGTCATCGTAAAATCTTCCATAAATATTCGTTCAATCACTTCGTTGTTAAAACACAATACACTGATCTCTCCTTAAAAACTGTTGATCCTTTGCTCAATACTAAGGGTTAAAAAAGAATCAAAGCAGAACTTTTTAGATGTACGTCGTTAGTTTCGCTTCATAGTAAATGGACATGTTGTTTTGATAGGCGCGTATTATATTCAGCACACAATTATTAAGAAGCACTTAACAACAACGATTCAATGCTGTGTAGTTTAGGAATTTTTCATAGCAGTAAGCCCTGAAGACTACAACACCATCGTACTGAATTAAAAAGTTATGAAGTAAGAGGGCTTTGAACTTTGAGAGAGCAAAGGTGCTGAAAGTTTATTGTGTAAGAGTTCTCTGTGTTAAACTGAGAAAAAAAATAAAAAAGATCAGCTAATGCAAATTTCTACCTGGTCCGGTAAATAGGGCAGTCATAGCTGGGCCAGTTATTTTGCTAAAAAAAACTAATCCTAATGTCCCAAACAAACTTATCATTTTAAAGGACGAAGACAGACGAGCAGCGAAACAACACAAGAAGCACAACATGAGTTCTGTGCGGAAGCTAGAAATGGTTTTCAATTTTTTAACTGACGTTTCAGGGTAAACATCACGGAACTGATCACTCAAATCAAATGATTGCTTTCTAAATATGAAGTCATTATTTCAGAGAGCAAAGCGAAGGTTATTTCTTCTTTATAAGGAACATTCAGCTGTCTTTGCACTTGCAAGTGTGTTTCAGAAAATTGAAAAGGCTTCATTAAAATCAGAAATATATATTTTTTCTTACCTTGATATTACTCCAATGTTGTGTGTTTGAGCGAAAATCTCCAGGTCTCTGCAGTTTTGGTAAAACTTTTGCAAGGGTCTGCTTAGGATCATGCCTATGACCACAAGTGCTACGTTAGCAATGACCGAAAAATCAGAATGACCAGTAATCGTCCGTTGTACCTTTGCGGCTTACACCAGTCATTGCCAAGATTTGTGTCACAAAATGCGTCCCTGTTTCATGAATATAATTTCAATTGCTGACGCATTGAGAAATGAGAAATTTAAGGGACTAAAATAGCGTCCACGTTAATCATCTGACAGCAGACTTGTAGTTCAGTGAGCTGAGCTTAAAGAAAATCAATTTTGATTTCAATGCGTTCATTCGCCGTTAAACAAATTCATAAATCTATTCAGCTGGTGTCTACTAATCTTCATTTAAGGTTTAACAGTCAAACTGTCGAACTGAACTGTCAAATCGAAATAGAAGTCAAGCTATCACACGAACGAAAACGGATTTGAAGAGAATTTTGGCAGCTCGTTGAGCCCGTTAAGAGCGTCATGTGGAAGAAAATATTTAAACGGTTAGTGTTTTAAGTACGTGGTGTCTCTGGTTTGTTGTGTTTCATTTCATAAAAAAAATTAATGCAGAGTCTCGAGTTGACATTAGCTTTCTTATGCAAATATGATACCACTATTAGGATTGGAATCGTTTAAAATGAAGAAAAAAAGAAACAGTTTGCTGATCTTAGCTGAACGTCACGTTAAATGTGAAAGTAGGTTACTGGCACATTCGAATCCAGTGGCACGAATTCCTTGGTATATAGGAAGGTCTTAAGTGCGGTTATTCTTCCGCGATTATTTCACCTTTGTGATAGCATAGTTCTACTGAGGATGAGGATGGAGATTTAAAACTGTGTAACTGTGTCTTATTGAAGGCATTGCTTAGTGTATTGATTTCTTTGTATGATTGGCAAAATGGGAGTACAATTTATTATCTAAAGTAAACGTGAATCGAGTTTACATTATTCAGAATTAATAGTGATGTTCGTGAATGATTTTGTTTCAGAAATATTTCCCGCCTTTAAGAGTTTGAAATTTAAAGCCTTAATCAACTCGCCATCTCTGTGTCTTCACGTCAAACGAGTCACGACTGCGCTGGAAAATGCTGCGTTTTCTTTGAACGACGCAAAGGTTTTCATCGAGTATTTAATAAACCTTGGAGAAAGAGACAAAGCATGGAAAATTTCGATGTATGTATTCTGTTATGCCGACCAAGGTTAGTTAGAGGTAAATATTATTGTATAATTACTGACCCTCATAAAATCCTATTGTTCTCTCTCAGCATTATATCGGCGATTTCAGCCTGAGAAAGTATTCATATTCAGTCAAGTCCAACTGTCTGAGGAAAACGGTGGCGGTCCTTTTTGGTAGCAGGGAAATTATCAGGGGTAATCCTAAACGCGCTAAAACGTTCAATATTGCAGTGGGCTGGCTGCACTGCAATATTTTTAATAATGCAGCCTGCTTCCAGCAATATTTTTAATATTGCTGCACGACTGTGGTATTTACTTCGTTACTTTTTCACTCAGTAATTTTTGAAAATTCGCGAATGTCCGCGCATAATTTATGATGAAGATCTGAAGTTAAAAAGTAAATGAATACACCATGAGAAGTACCATTCCAGGAGACGTACAGACGAAAACATTTTACAGTTTATTTAGGGCACATCTGACAATGACAGTCTTTCTCACTTGTAAGAAATAACAATTTTCGTACTGTGAGTACTAATTACAACTGACTGATTATAATCTTCGCTCTGGTTTTCGTCTAAAACCTTTTCGCTTAACCCCTGTAACCCTGTTTCTTCCCTTTGTCCATCATATTTTTGCTCAACATCATTGTTAAACACTTTTTCATTTTTTTCCTTGACGTCTATTTCTGCCCTCTTAGGAGTCGCTCCCTGCAAGATTTCACTTGCTTTCCTTTTAAATGTTGATGAGGTACAGTTATACTCCCTAACCCCATCACATGATCGGTGACCAGTGGTTTCTACAATAACTTGTTCTGGCACACCACCTTCGTACAATCGTGTGGCGCAACTTCGTCGAAGGGAATGATTTGTAAAGTGCCCCTCAAAACCTGCTCTTCGCATAATATTCTTAACTACGTTCCCTAACGTTTCCCTCCCCATAGCTTTATTATAATACCATACGTCCCCTTTTGGCTTTGGCAAAGCCCGCAAATAGAATGCGTTGTCACTGATTTCTTTCGGCACGTGAGATACGTATTTTTATACAGCTCAACTGGGCAACGCTCTACACTGGTTAAGTTCTTATATGCCCGAACAACTTTCCTTTTGATACGCAAATGGCTCAAACCGCCATTATTAGTTTTACTGATATCCTCCATATACTGTAAGAATTCATTACCCGATTCGTCACTTTGTAGCGATAACTGTGAGTTTTTTAAATCTCAAATTCCTGTGTTGCTGCCCAGCCCTTAGAGCAAACTGAATGCCAAAAACCCAGACCAAAGTGTGGCAAAGCAGCTCTGCGTTGTCGCTCCCTAAAAACCCGTTTTCCCACAAATAGTTTTCTTGTTCCTCCGTAATAAGATTAGCCTTGTTGACAACTAAGCCTATTCCTTGCCCAGCTTTCTTTCATTTGAAAATTCAAAGCTGAATTCAAACTTCTAAATTTACAACCTGTTTTGTCAATCAAAGTCACATTTCTCTTACATTTCACACGTAAAAACGTTTGAATACTACTTATCATTTCATATAAAGTCTTTCCTGGATATTCTTGTCCATCTTCTTTTCTAACTTCGGCAATAAATCGAGCCAAGACAAAATCCAGCTGCTCTTCAGACATTTCATCTAGATTCTCGTTTATCAACGGTTCACCACTATAACTCATTTCATTTACGGCTTTATTTCTCTCAACCATCCACTGATCAAAGACTTTCAGCACCCACGCCCATTTTCGACGACTTGAGTCTGACACCCAACTTTCTTCAAATTTTTCACACTCAACAGACGTAATTGGTTTTCTGAATCTTTGCTCTTCTATAAACAATAACAAAATACAAGGAAAGCTTTTCTTAGTCGTTTAAAAATGACCCCCAAAAAGTTAAAGCGTAATTACCTTCAACGGCAGCGGCATTTTCCGACCTCTGGCTCTGCGTTATGAAAATGGCAGATTCGTCTTCCGAAGAATCCTCCATCAAGCTTCAAAACAGTACCAACTCTTTGCCTTCCAACAAACAACTCAAATAACCAAGTGCATTGCGTTAATATACAATGCAAATTACGTTTGCATGAAATTCAATCACACACCTGAAAGATGTGGAAAGTTACATAATCTTTACAAGGATTTAACAATGACTAAATTCCGGGAAATGAAAAGGGTTATGTAATTTGTATAACTACTAGACAATACGTGCTAATTGCATTGTTGGAGAGAGAAAATAGTAGGATTTCATGAGAGTCAATGATTATATGAATGAATGCAAGTAGTTAACAATGGCTGAATTGGGGAATGAAAAAGGATTATGCAATTTGTATTATTACTGGACAATGCTTGCCAGTTGCATTGTTGGTGTACCAAAACATCAATATGAAGGGGCGACTGAAATCGTCGATGTAATGCAGAGAGAGAACAATAGGATTTTATGAGGGTCAATAATTATAATAGTTAATTACTTCGGTTCGCAGCATTATTGGGTATAATGCTGCGAACCGAAAGTAATTATCTATTAAATAGCGCTGTATCGTGATTTAGAGTGCAGAAGAGTGAAGTATAGTGGTATCTAGGGGTACATATTGTTGTATAGCGCTGTATAGTGATGTAAACTGCAGTAGCGAGAAGTATAATGCTATCTAGGGGTACATATTGTTGTATAGCGCTGTATCGTGATGTAGAGTGCAGAAGAGTGAAGTATAGTGGTATCTAAGGGTACATATTGTTGTATAGCGCTGTATAGTGATGTAAACTGTAGTAGCGAGAAGTATAATGCTATCTAGGGGTAGATATTGTTATATAGCGCTGTATCGTGATTTAGAGTGCAGAAGAGTGAAGTATAGTGGTATCTAGGGGTACATATTGTACTATAGCGCTGTATAGTGATGTAAACTGCAGAAGAGAGAAGTATAGTACTATTTAAGGGTACATGTTGTTTTATAGCGCTGTATTGTGATGTAAATTGTGGAAGAGGGAAGTATAGTGCTATCTAGGGGAACTTGTTGCTTTTTATGATCCATCAAATATTTTTGCTCGCGCGCAATTGGTGTAAACGCAGCAAGTGACTAAATATCCCCCAGCTAATACTGGGTGATATCCGAGAATATCACACAAGCGATATTCCCCAATTCGCAAACCTTACGTCTACCTCGATAAGTCTTCGTTTCAAATTTAATTCAATTCAGTGAGCTGTTCATAAAGATTCTTTCACGAGCGTTGCAAAATAATTGAGGGATAAAAATCACAATAGCCTCTATTTTGCACGAAAATATGTTCGGATATTTGCCCTTGGACATTGTCCCTCGAAGCTCACAGTTTTGGCATCTTGGAATAGATAATGTTCGCGGACAAATATCCATAATTATTTTCGTGTCAAATTGGAGCAATAGTTTATAGAGCGATGAATGCTGAAAAAAAATTCAGTAGAGGGAAGCATAGTATTATTTAGGGTTTCATATTGTTGTGATGCGCTGCACAGTTACTTCATTTTACGGATTTACAGTGCTACTCAGGGGTATAATGTTGTATTGTGCTGTATAATTTTAAAAGTTGCAATAAAGGGATGTATAGTGCTATTTAGGGGAGGAGGAGAGGGGCATATAGGCGTACGTATTCGAGGAGTTTGTTCTACAACGTAAGGAGACATGGAGTCCAATAATCGACGGAACGTGTTTGCTCCTAATGAATCTCTCGGGCTGTTATCGACTACCTCTTAGGAAGCATTACAATAACTTAACCTTTCTTGATTATTGTCTTTTCAAAAACACTTTTTCAAGGTCCTCTCTGCGTCTACATCCAAGATGACGGCTACCGACTCGGAGAAGTCTGTGGATTGGCCTGCTGCCATCTTGGACTCGCGATGTAGGCGGACCCTGGGCGAGAGTTTGATCCATTCCCAATAAGATGATAGAAGAAGCCTTAATTTGGACATTGAAGGACTCGTTTCCAACAAAATGCATCGATTATGTCGCAGAGACTTGGAGGGAGCTCTTTCGTTTTATAGCTGCTACTGTGATGAGAGGACCGAGGAGAGCAAATACTGGCAAGTGAAACTTAAAATTGAGACCCCGTGTGGACTGGGAATGAGTCGAAAGGAAAACTAAGATTTTACTAGACATGATGCTAAGAAGACACCATCCTAAAGTGAACAAAATAAGCATAACAACAACTACTCTGGGGAAGTAAAGAGGTATATGAGTTGTAAGAGACCTGACGTTGCACGAGGATTGAGACGAAAGAAAACTGAAACAGACAAGGAGATAGTCGCGTCTAATGAAGCGCGTAGAAGAATAAAGTTAAGGGCGATGAAAGAAGTGCGCGTAAAAATGGGAATAAAGGAAAAGTACGATGAAAAAAAGGGAAGGAACAAAAGGAAGGAGAAAAAAGAGATGCACAAATGTGAAAAGGTGTAAAAAGGTAAAAAGGGCGCACACAGGTAACATTATGAACACGTCCGTTGGCATTCAAAATCGTGTGACAATATGGAGAACGGTAGACAGTGAAAGAGACACAATCGAAGAGTCGACGAGCGTTTGTTAAGTGGGCGGGGGCTTGAAACATGGAATGTCAGTACACTATCAGCTGCAAAGATTATCAACTTGGCGCGCGCGGGTCAAAACAAGCATTGAAGTCCCCGTAGGATCTGTTCTCCCTGCATCTCATGCAAATCCTTAGAATATGGAGACAGACAATGAAAACAAACGCAGTTTTTGTATACACCCTCTATTTCTCTTACACAAAAAAGTAAAAAAAAGTACAATACAAACTGCATTAAATTGTTCAAGGCATTAAGTAAAGTACGCGCTAAACGGAGACACTAAAATGAACCCATTTATTCCCAAGATTGATCATAACTTAAATTCTCCTCACAAAATTAATGCACCAACAAACATGGTGTCAATAAGAATTAGAGAAAATCTAAACTAGCGGATTATTTTTCACTAGAAACGTTATGTTTCATCGAATTCTCAGAATGAAGCAACAAAGAAACACATTCTTATCAGTTGGGAGAATTTTTCTTCACAACTTGGGAGTTAATGAGTCAATGAATAAAAACTAAGGTAAATGAACAAATAGCTTCAACTTTAAGTACAAATAGCATCAAAACAATTCACACCAAATACACTGATATCATAAAAAGAATGTTTAGTCTAAATTATCCCAGCTTGTTTTTAAAATCCTACGTTACGTCATATTCAACCATGTGCAAGGTTAACTATTACATTTTATACCAGCATATACCAATGGTAGTTATCAAAATCTGTCAAAATTAACACTGATTTTACAAAAATTTCTTTTAAAACAGCTGTGATACAGTATACCTTAAACTTTGACCACATAACGGGTTCTAATTACAAAGCGTGCTCTGAATACCTAAGTATAAATTCTTAAATCTAAGAAAGATATCACCAGACATCTCCAAATTATACTAAGGTAAATTTAAAGCCATGAAAAAAGTTTGAACAGCAAATTTTCAAAAAAATGCAAATTTTATCCCGAAGCCCTGAACCATTTTAACTACGGCCTAGATTTACATTTATTCATGAACATTTTCACCAAAATAATTCCCATTGAGGACTACATGGCTTACTTCAATTGTTTCCCTAATTTAATGGCGTAAATATTTTCCTAATGAAAACAACAAATTCCATGTCACCTACATTAAAAGTCACAGCAATGGAAACTTCAGTTAAAGTAAACTCTGCTTCGCTATTTCCTTGTTTAGATTACATGGACAATTTGTCTCTGTCGTCGTTCTCTAAAACAAACTGATGAGTGTTTGATAAAACGGACTAATTGATCAAACTCGTTTGATTGAAAGCAGGCCGTTGTAGCCAGCTCTTTGACTTGTTGTAGGCCTTTTTCCTGAGAAATTTCAATTTTTGCTTCAACATTTGTAAGAGTCATATTAGAAAAGTCAAGCGGGCGGAAAACAATTGTAGGCCGGGCCCACGGGACTAGAGGCTGGCCACACCCCTGAGAGTAGGTCTAATGTCTCTAACATATGCATATGGTCAGTAAATTCAACAACATCATCTCTGATGATTACTTCTTCAAATTAAGCTTAGAATGGCAATCTTGGCACTGATGGAATTAGATTGCATTAAAATGGATTGAAAAAAAATTGAAAATGACAATCAATTTTTTTGTAAAGATAATTGCAAATTGCAACAAAGTAATTTATGACGTAGAAAAACCATTAAGATCAATTCCCATATGGCTGCGAAGTTTGCAAATCACATTTTTGAAATTAAAATTTCGCCACCTTTTGCAAATGACAAACTGTTTCTTTGCTTATCAAAAGCTTAGAGTATCAACGTAATTAAAACCCGGTACACAAGCTCCTGGTTGTGTACAAGAAAAAAACCTTTAAATTATTTTACACATAACTGATTGCAATAAAGGAATAGATCTGAGTGTCATTTTGGCGAAACGAAAACCTCGTAGTCGCCTTCAACAACTTCAGGCATTAACAGCAGAAGCCTTGTTGCATCTTGTTCTCTTCGCAAGCATCTAAATTTGTAAAGGTAAAAAAATAGCAATTCCACTGAACAAAAAATATACTGAAATAGTCTGTTTTATTTCTTCATCAAAGTAAAGTCACACATCTCAAGTTCCATTTAACAAAAAAGTGAAAAGTAATGAAAAATCACCAAAAAGCGCCAAAATGGAGAAGCATTTAAACCTTCCAAGTTCCTGCGTCATTCATTTTGAGATGAAATAAAAAACTTTTCATTTATGTGATTTCATATTCAAATTTTCTCTTTCCTTTGCCATGAAGTCAAGAGTGACGTCATCTCCAATCAGCAAAAAGGGCGCCCAGTGTTTGATGTCGCAGAACTTGTCTGATTCTCTGAGGCTTTTCATGGCCAGATTCAGTGACTCGCTTGCTGGTTTACCGCCTGCAAGATGTTGATAAAAGTATTTCATGAACTCAAGAGTAGCCTCGTCATCAATCGCCCACAGGGACACCACAATAGACCGAGCACCAGCCCCCATAAAAGCGCGCGCAATGCCAACCACACCTTCAGCCTTGATCTCGCCCCGGCCGCTGTGGCAGCAACTAAGCACAACAAGTTTGGCCCGAAGTTGAGCATTCAACACATCTCCAATTGTTAAAATGTAATCCTCCTCCGTTGGCACAGTAGATATTCGGTCTGGGTCAGGTGTAAGAGCAATTTCGCCAGTTTCCATACGTCCGTGTGCCGCAAAGTGAACTAGAGAAACGGAACTGAGTCTTTTCAACACCTCACGTTTCGTGGCCTGACTGCCAGTGATTGGCGTGATATTCAGAATTTTTCCGATCATTTCTACTTCTATTTTAGCATACTGAAGCTGCTCGAAGACTTTCTTTCCCTCGCTGTTAGTAACCTCGGATACCCACGGATCTCCTACGAGTAACGCATCACTGCTTTTGTGATAATCATCTGGGCAATCGGCAATGAGTCTAAGACTTGCTAACGATGGAGCGACTCGGATTTTGAACGACTCACACAGGTATTTAGAATTACCATCCTTCAATGCAGCGTAAGGAGCGATCCACAGGAGTCCATCAGGAATAATGAGTAGCTCATCCCCTTCAATCAAGTCAGCCACCGGCTTCATAACGATATCATACAAAGTGCTCAAGCATCCGTCTTGTTGGATGTGAGGTTGAGGCTTGGCTTCTTTGGTTTTCTCATCCACTTTTGAACGGCCCTCCCTCAAAGCATCTAAAGATCGATTCTCGCATCTCACATTAGAAAGAACACCAAGTTGTGTATAGACACCGAGCATGAACGACTTAAAGGACAGGCTTGATCCACTATTCTCTGAAACAAAACCTTTGAGTTTACTTTGTCTTAACTGAACTTGTTTTCCTTCGGACACAACCCAAAGATTGACGTTAGCTTCGTCCACTGCCTGAAAGACAGTGTTTGATGGAAGGTTTTTTAAAACTGCGCAATCTTCATCTTCTCCCTTGTGGTGACTTGTTCCACCACAAAAACTGGATTCCATGAGGTCGGTCAGAGCTTGAGCTCGTCCTTTCTCAGCAACAAATAAGGCTTCATCTACATTACCTTGCTCTACGAGAACTCTCCACAAACCCGTATACGCCACTTGATGCTGATTTCGAAAATCAACTTTCCACTCATCTTTAGATATTAGAAGTACTCTCAAGGAATTGAATAAGTTTATGCTAGCTTGGTAATGTTCAACGGCTTTTGGCAGTGTACCTTGCAACTCAAAAACCCATGCTAATAAACAGTAGGCCATTGCCTCCGTGAATTTGTCTCCTACTTCTTTAGCTATTAGAAGATGTAAGTTGTGGTACTCTATGGCTTTTTTGAAATCACCAAGACGGCGATAAGCAATGCCAAGATTGCTATAAGCACCACCCTCCCCATGCTTGTCTCCTACTTCTTTAGCTATTTTAAGATCTCGGTTGTGGTATTCTATGGCTTTTTTGGAATCACCCAGATAGTCATAAGCATTGCCAAGATTGCCATAAGCACTACCCTCCCCATGCTTGTCTCCTACTTCTTTAGCTATTTTAAGATGTAGGTTGTGGTACTCTATGGCTTTTTTGGAATCACCCAGACGGTAATAAGCATTGCCAAGATCGCCATGAGCACAACCCTCCCGAAGCTTGTCTCCTACTTCTTTAACTATTTCAAGACGTAACTTGTGGTACTCTATGGCTTTTTTGAAATTACCCAGACTAAAATAAGCATTGCCAAGATTGCCATAAGCGTTTCCCTCCCCATGCTTGTCTCCTATTTCTTTAGCTATTTTAAGATGTTGCTTGTAGTACTCTATGGCTTTTTTGAAATCAGCAAGACGGCGATAAGCAATGCCAAGATTGCCATAAACACAACCCTCCCCATGCTTGTCTCCTACTTCTTTAGCTATTTCAAGATGTAGGTTGTGGTACTCTATGGCTTTTTTGAAATCACCCAGACTAAAATAAGCATTGCCAAGACTGCCATAAGCGTTACCCTCCCCATGCTTGTCTCCTACTTCTTTAGCTATTTTGAGATGTAGGTTGTGGTACTCAATGGTTTTTTTGAAATTACCCAGACGGTGATAAGCATTGCCAAGATTGCCATAAGCGATACCCTCCCGTGCTTGTCTCCTACTTCTTTAGCTATTTTAAGATGTAGGTTGTGGTACTCTATAACTTTTTTGAATCACCCAGACGGTGATAAGCATTGCCAAGATTGCCATAAGCGTTACCCTCTCCATGCTTGTCTCCTACTTCTTTAGCTATTTTAAGATGTCGGTTGTGGTACTCTATGGCTTTTTTTGAAATCTCCCAGACGGTCATAAGCATTGCCAAGATTGCCATGCACAACCCCCCTCCCATGCTTGTCTCCTACTTCTTTAGCTATTTTAAGATGTAGGTTGTGGTACTCTATGGCTTTTTTGAAATCACCCAGACTAAAATAAGCATTGCCAAGATTGCTATAAGCACAACCCTCCCCATGCTTGTCTCCTACTTCTTTAGCTTTTTTAAGATATAGATTGTGGTACTCTATGGCTTCTTTTCCCTGATTATAGAGATCTATGACTTTCCAGACATCACCTGAACTTGCACTACCCGGGTCATGACTAATAGGATCTTTTTCCTCCATGGAGTTATCTCCCACTTCACTGACAGACTGAAGTCTTAATGACAACAAGATCCTATTGTTTTTGTTGATCTTTTTTATGTTAAGGGTTAAAAATATGGAAAAAACAAAAAAGATTATGTTTCTGATCATATTGATATGTAATAGTCCATTTTAACATTTGCGTGCTTGGTTCCCAAACCTCTGAACAAGAGCCATGATTAAGGGTGACCTTGTTATGATAAAAACATTGCTGCTTTTTAAATGCAAACTACTTTGTTATTATCGTTTCTAGATACTGGTCACTATCACAACAAGGTCACCTTCAGCCTTACTCCAAATCAAAGGCTTGGCAGCTAAGTACACAACTATAAAATGGCCCATTAGGAGGGCTTTGCATGAAAGGTGGATGATTTATCAACATTTAGTCCTAAAGTCAGTTATGAAGTAAATCTACTCTTCAAAAAATGTTTTTTCTGTGTGCAGCCTCAAACTTTAACGCGAAATATCTACATTTAATCTCTAGTTTCCAAAAACTGAGCAGCACTTGTTCAATTTTTAAATTAATATAGCCTTAACATCAGACAAATGTTTTACAGCAGTGGAAGAAATGAGTCTATAACACAAACACATGTCTTTAAAATTGTTATTTGTCCATAGGAAAGCACAACGAAAGTTTACGAGTCTCTAAGTAGTGGAAAAAGGTCGAAGGCAAGAAAATCTGCATAAGATATGTAAACATTACCGAGCTTTTTGTTCTGGCTTGTTTTAGAGAGATCATCTACCCAAGTACTATGTATTAACTGGATGAATATTAGTCTTCTAACCCTTTAACTCCCGTGAGTGACCAAAAGAGAATTTCTCCTTACAATAGCAATACAATATCAATCAGATAAGTGTTGAGAGTAAAAAAAAAATATATCAATTTAAAAATAGTTAGTTGATGCATTACTGAATTCTCTGTACTAACATTACAAGAATTGTATGGTTGACAGTAAGGATAATTACAAATTTGGTCTGGGAAATTAAAGGGTTATTTAAACTAATGTACCAGTTATTGGCATGGATAGTAGAACTAGGTCAAATTGGCTAAAAGGAGTAATTTCATTAATAAGTCATGAGGTAATAACTTCTCCTATGTTTTTAATCACACACACTTAAAGTATATGAGCTGACAAGTTCCCATCATAATTAATACCCTTCTTTGTATTTTCTCCCTTGAAACATCAAATTATGGAAACTTTTTTCCATTATACCCACGGTTAAAAATGAAAGATTCCTTCAAAGGATACAGCTAGTCCCTTATCACACCAAGTGATTGCTTCTTCAAATCTCTTCAATTCAACACAAGCAGTGGCTCCTGTAGGCAACAACACAAAGAAGCATACCATTACTGTAGCTCAATTCTGAGAAAAGAACCTGAAACCATTGAAATCATTACAGACCAGAAGAAAAAAAAAGACACAACAAAACAATACAAAAAAACTAAACGGAAAAGAATAAACAGGCCCTATTAGGTTTCAGCAGGTAATTTAGTGTTAACAACTGGGTTGAAAACGTAATTTAGTCGTAAAGGGTAAAAAAGCTGACGTTTCGAGCGTTAGTCCTTCGTTAGGCAAGTCCTGATCCTTCTTTTTAAAACAGCTAGATAGTGACTTAAGAGCGTGTCCACGAGAGCACCGGGCAGTCGTGCTACATGCCATCTCACCGATTTCAATGAAAGTTTATCAGTTTAAAGGGTCTACCCCAAAACTCAAAAAAAAAAACAGACTGGTTTCTGTTTTGGGTTTTCGGATGGAGATAGACCACCCCCGGTTTTTCTTGGTTTTCACCATGGAAATCGCTTCAAATAGGTAAAATGTATGAAGCTTTCACTGCGATGGTATTTAACCGATTACTTTGAGGATTTGCACACATATTTTTACATCCTTAGTTAATGGCCGCCGCGAGTATCAGTCCGTTTGATTGACGGCTTGTCAATCAACAGAGGCAAATATACGACTTTGGTTTTAGACTTTTCGATTCATCTAAATATTTTACAACTTTGAGGTCAAATATCTCCCGTTGCCGGAAAGTTACAACACTAATCTTAATTACCCTTTATAACCCATCATTTCATCTCTGGAAATCATCAAAAAAAAATCTTTAGGCACTACCGTATTTTTTTTGTCTTGGATGCCTTTTAAAATCTGCGACTGTGACAAGTTTCTCTCAACTACATTTGTCACGCAATTCCTGCTCTAGGCGGTCACTTGACAAAATAAACCTACATTTTTAGCTCTTTATACAAGTTGATTGGTCAAGAAAGGTGAAAACTGTGAAAAACTTTCGAGATTTTTTTGTAGGAATGGAAAATTTCACGTTTAGAGAGATGCATGTTGACGGAAGATCAATGGGAAAATCGAAGCGTTTCTTTCTTCAGTCGTTTATTACTTTGAAGATTTGCTAAAATCAGGACATAGGGCTCTTGTACAGAACAAAACATTCAATAGCCTATACTTTGATCGTCTATTATCATTATCGCACAGTTTACAATAAGGAAACTGTAACAGGAGAGGAGATTTTAAAGTCACATGTCGCCTGCTTGTTGACGTACAAGTTCCCGAGTGTAACAACTTCGGCTTTTCCATACCGCGAATGACGGGAAACTCTGCCCCCTTTATTTGTTAGGAAACATCAATAGCCCCATGAATTCATCAACTACGCCATGTTTCCAGAAAATAAGACTGGAAAATGTTTTTTCCACTTTCCACCATCAAGGAATTCCACGTATAGGAATAGTATTCGTAGGGTCACTGCGTGACCTTTTATTAGAAGTAAAAATTGTTCATCTTTTTTTTTTCAAGAAGGCACTTCTAGAAAGTTCCTAATCCTTCTGTTATCTTATTTTCCTGTTTTTTGACTGCAAATATCATCTGCATTTGCTATTATTTTCGCTAATTGTCATGGCCTTTCCTGCGTGCACGTGCGAGCTAGTTTATATACAGGACTCTTTCGAGTTTCTCTGGCTGGTGTCGGGCTTATGTGTAGGTCTAGTTCAAAAGATATCTGCACGCTGCAACACGGGTTCCTATGTTTTCTCCTTTTTCTTTATTTGTATTTTCATTCTCTTGCTTGCATTATCACACATTTATGTTTTTTTATTCCCTCAGCACGTTCCCTCAGATTTGGAAGTAGGCCATGAAAAGTCAATATTGACCAGAACTGAAATCCTTTTCTATCACTATTTGTTTCAGAGAACCCCCGTCATTTGTGACTTTATTTCTCAAGAAAATGTGTTTTTATTTGCTATTTATTTCCATTAGAACATGAAACTAGGTCCTGATAAGTTTTTTTGTCTCGTGACTCCCAAAAACTGTGTTTGCGACAACATCAATTGAGAAATCAAAGGCAATTACGCCTGAGAAATTCGCTTGTAGTCTTCTACCCGCAGAAGGCAATTCCATATAATGAAACGTTCTAAGACCTCTGTAAATTAGAGACATTGGGTGATGTTGAGGAGTGAAATATTTAAACTAAATCTGTGACTCTCAAACAGATCACGTACTCGTACGTGTAACTTCCGGAAAATATCACGCATGTATAACACCGTAGGCTCACCTGGCGAATTCTATCCACTGGCTTCAATAGCAAAGAGAAAACTTATTTACTATTTGTATATGAACAAGCTTATTTACCCTACTTGAAAAAATTCTTGATGAAGTCTACTATTGTCAGACGAAACGCGTGGGAGATAAATACAAGTTTTTACTTTCTTAGTTCGTGCAGTGATGCTCACTAGTTTGTTCCGTCAAAAATGCTTTTAATGTGAAGTCACGTCGACCTCGACAGAAAAACTAAGCTCACCCTGTAATAATCAATGGTTTGATACCGTTAGTACCAATTTAGGTACATCATTGGGCTTTGATCACAATGATGAAAAAAATGTGCGTTTCCTCACGCTCGCCACGTTTATTCTTTGGAAAATTATTTTACAGAACTGTTTTATAGCAGCCCGAGGAAAAAGCAAAATTGAAACAACCGGCGTATCGGTCAAACGAATTCCAATTTTTTTCAACAAGGAGTTGGCAAGTTCATTTTTCCTAGTAAATTTAAGTGGGCTTCATTTTTTTGTGACAGCCGATCAAAGATAGACATCTCTGAAACGTCTCTAAAACTCTTAAAAAAAAAAAACATTTGAGAGACGTCGATCTATCCCAAACATGCATTTCGTCCGAGATGGAGCTTATTCTAGCGCGTATTGGCTTAATTGGAGATTACGAAGGCCGCGATTCCACGATGTACCTCAAATATCGTGCACAACTTGGTGTGAGATTCAGACCTTCGGGTTCGTAAATGCCAGTATCCTCCTCATAAAAAAATCGGAGACATAAAGTGAGAGAGATGAATCTCAAATGGCAGAAGAAATCAAAGCTGGTGGCGAGTCTTCCTGGTGGCGGCAAGGTGACTGTAAACCTAAATAGAACGCGCACTGTAGCTGCTATCTTAGAGTCGGCAATGAATAAGGAAAAAAGGGCAAGAAGAGCGCTTATCTGAACATCAGTTTTCCTAACTGGTGATTTGTGACTGAGATGAACTTTATATCATATGACTGTTAGGGATACGCAGGTACTGTAGAGTCGCTCACATAGATAGAGGTGGACGATCCTCCCTCTGACTTAAGAACTGCGACAAGTTTATAGCGCAGATCAAGAGGCACAGTTTGAAGCACCTCAGGGTCTCACTTGGCTCGTCACATTAGAAACCTTCAGCAAAC